GGTATCAGAGGATACAGCCCTGACGGTGTGATGGACAGTGAAGAGGAAGGAAGCAGGGCCGCGAGGCGCCTCAGCTAAGGCATTCGCTTCGCACGCGTGACGCGCTAGTTTCGGTCTCAGCACCACCGAAACACTAAACAAAAAGAGAAACAAACCAAAGGGGACTCTGAAAGTATTTAGAAATTAAGAACTTCTTTAAAAAGCTAGGGGCCAGGGATTTAGCTCAGCGGCACAGCACCTGCCTGGCAAGCGCAAGGTCCTGAGTTCGATACCTGGTACCAAAAAAATAAAAATAAAAATAAATAAAAAGCTAGAAAGCCTTAGGGGTTTGGTTTAAATCATAAAATACCCTCAGCACAAGTTACATCTTCATCACCTTGTAGCACCAATCCTAGCACAGTGCCTAATACAGCACATTAGTTACTGTCTACATACATTCAAACTCTACAGTACATGTATGACCAGTTCAGATAATTAAGATTTTCATGTTTAATAATTTACTTATTCAACATATATGTGAGTAACTCCCACAGGGAGGCATTCAGTCATCAAAAGAGCTATGAGCAGTCATTAAATCAGTCATAATCACTACATTCAAGTACGTGGGGCAGAATGACAACACATAAATAAGCGAAAGAAGGGCTGGGGATACAGCTCAGTGCCATAAGTGCCTGCCTGGCAAGCACAAGGTTCTGAGTTCGATTCCCCATACTACCCCCAAAAAATTATAAATAAGCAAAAGAATGACAGATTATGAAATGCTGAGAAAAGTAATATTTAGAAAGCTAAATTTTCATAGCTTAGTTAAAGTGGATCTTTCTGGAAGGGGTAACATAGGAAGGATTTAACAACTGACTGAAAAAACAATTAAACCAGGGGTAGTGGTATACGCCTGTCATCTCAGCACTGTGGAGGCTGAGGCAGGAGGTTTATGATGAGTTTAAGGCCAGCTTGGACTACACAGAGATCCTATCTCAAAAAAACAAACCAAATCAAACAAGAAAAACAAAAACAAAAAAAAAACCCAAAACACAAGCATGCCTAAACAAGGATATGCGGAAAATAAGAGAACGCAAATTTCTGAAAATCTTCGAAGTTCTGGACAAAGAACAGAGCTACAAAAATCAAGACATTATAAGACAGAGTTTAGCTGGGCGTGGTGGCACACCCCTGTAATCCCAGCGCTCAGGAGGCTGAGGCAGGAGGATTATTGCGAGAGACCAGCCTGGGCTACAAAGTGAGCTCAAGGCCAGCCTGAACTGCATAGCAAGACTTTATCTCAAAAAGACAAACAAACAAACAAAATAAAACAAAAATATAAGACAGAGTTCAGAATCTGCACTTTGGGAGCTGGTCACAGCTCACTGGTAGAATGTGTACTTAGCAGGCACAAAGTCCTGGCTCAGTCCCCAGCCGATACACACAAGAATCTGTAATTTTACCTTTCTCCAATAAAGGGAATGAGAGCTCCCCAGAGACATTTCTGTGGCTGGATGGGAAAATAAGCAAGCATAAAGTATCTTACAATACCCAAAAGTTAGGAAATCCTTTAGGAAGGGGAGAGGAGGGACATTTCTAAAGGACACAGAGCCATGGCGAAACGCTCCAATGGCCGAAGCTGGAACAATCTGAACAACAAAACTGCTAAAATAGTATTGGATTACGATCACAGGATCATTAATCAGTCATTAATCCATAGGGCTGCAAAGAAAACACTAATAGTAAGTAGGGGAGAAAATACAGCACTTCCTTACAGAAGAATTCAAATGAAGAATGTAAAAGAAACGAGACCAAAGAAACAATACTTAAACAAACACCACAGGAATAACTGTGGTCAGAGGAAACCACAACTGGATGCTGAAACGGGGTATTAACTGTCTTAAAGCATCTTCCCCAAGAGATATACACCAATTACAAAGGGGAAACGTAATTTTACATTGCAGAAACCAAGAGAACATGTTCACCAAGTCAAGATGAACAGCACCACAAAAAAAAAAAAAAGATAAACAGCACCAGTAATAAGACAAATCAGCACCATGATTCCTCAATACGAAGTGCTCAAAAGGGTACAGCGTCACTTCTGAGATACTCTTGCAAAAATCCGTACCTTCACTCATCACAAAAAAATACCACACAAACCTACATCGAGCGATATTCTAAAAATAACTGGCACCTTCTCTTTAAAGCATGGAGGCCACAGAAAACAAGACTAAGGACCTGTCACAGGCTGGAAGGGTCAGGAGACCTCTTAGGGCGGTGTGAGACTCTGGGCTTCAGCCTGGAGCAGAAAAAGATGTTGTTGGGAAAACGGGCAAAATCCAAACAGCTCCTGCAGATTAGTTACTGGTATATCAATATTAAGTTTACCGTTTGGGTAATTTTATTATGGTTATATAAACAGTAACATTAGGGAAGCCAGCGGAAGCTCATAAGATGATGCAAATTTTTGTAAATTTTCTGGAAGCTTAAAGTTATTTCAAAGTAAAAGTTAAAAAGAACTGAAAACAGTAAAAAATTTTTAAAATACTTACACTATTTGCAAAAATTCAGTACTTGGGCTAAGGACATAGCTCAGTGGTAGAGTAAGACTTGCCTACCATACGCAAGACCCAGGATTTGGTCTCCAGTACTGTCCAAAA